GTTGTGCAGAAGCACCAATCAGAGTTGGCGTGTATGCGTGTGTGTGCATGCACACACAAATATATATTCCAAGCTGTGAACATCTCCCAGAGCACCATTAAGTCCATTATTACAAAATAGAAAGAATATGGCTTGACCACAAGTCTACCTAGAGAAGACCAGACACCAAAATTTAACTGTGTAAGGAAACAGGAGGCTACTGGGTAAGGAAGGCCAAGAAGTGGTAAGGAAACAGGAGACCAATCAAGAGACCAATGGTAACTGAAGGAATTGGGGAGATCTGCAGCTGAGATGGAACAAACCATTGGGCAACTATCACATGACCCCTCCACAAAGCTGGATTTTATGGACGAGTGAAAAGAAAGCACTGCTGAAACAACCCTATATCAAGACCCATTTGGAATTTTCAAATAAGCATGTGGGAGACACAGCAAACATTTGGAAAAAAGATTGCATCTAGTATTATAATTTTTGTACAAGATCCCTTAGTAGCTTTTTCTTTTCATTTCTTACTTTCTCCCCCCCCCCCCCACCCGTTTATCTATTAAAAATTGACAAAAAGATTGCCTGGTCTGATGAGATGAAAATAGAATGTTTTGTCCATGATGCAAAATCCTGTGTGTGGTGCAAAGCCAACATTGTTCATTGCTCTGAGAACACCATCTCCATAGTGAAACGTGGTGGCAGCTTTTCTTCAGCTGGGATTGGAAAATTAGGTCTGAGCGCAAGATGGATGGAAGCAACCAGGACAATCCTAAAAGAAAACCTGTTTTACTGGGTAAGGGACCTGCAACTGGGGTGAAGATTCATTTTCCTGCAGAACAATGACCCTAAACACACAGCCAATGTAACACTGGGATGATTTAAAGTAAAGAACCTGAAAGTCTTAGAATGGCCCAGTCAGCAATATAATTGAGAATCTGTGGCACCGTATGAGAGCTGCTGTTCATCACTGGTCTCCATCCAACATGACAAAAATGGAAGTATTTTTGCCAGAATAGACAAACATTGTGGGATCCAGATGATAGAGACTTAACCAAGAAGAGTTACAGCTGTAATTAATACCAACAGTGCTTCGACCGAGTATTGGGGCTGAACACTTATGCAACCAACAAGTGCCAGTTTGCTTTTAGGAGCATTCTTTTTATGAATGAAGTTATGTTTTGTGCCAAAATAAAAATATTTTGCACCCTCACAGCACTGAAAGTCTTGTGTACATCAAGTGACAACAATGCCAGTTAAATCCATTTAAATTCAGGGTTTCACTGCAACAAAATCTGGAAAAATTAAAAGGGGGGGTGAATAGTTCTGTAAGACACTGTATATAAAGAGCACCCTTTTCTCCATCTATAGGATCAGAAAGGCTTGTTTGAGATAGTTCAGGTTCACAGTGAAAAGAAATTGGACCCGAGTCCTTTGCATACAAAGTGTGGCTAAAATATATGAATGGGCTCAACTCATGATGGGTTCCGTGTTACTTTTGTAGCTGAAAACATTTCATCCTTCCTTTCTAATCCAGAAGCAGAGTCAACATTTGTTTGAACATTAAATTCATTTAGCATGGATTTAGGTGACCTGTTTTCTTAGTCTGTCCCACATCTCTTTAATCAACACATTGCAAGAATTACTTGCAACTAGCTGCCAGTTTATATTTGCATGCATATGACTTCTTGGATTTCATTACTTGGAAGCCATGCACAGTCTGACTCCATTTGGAAGTCCTACATTAGAAGTAATGGGGAGGGGTTGTAAACATTTCTTCCTGTAGAGCTTGATCTGTGATTACTTATTCACACATACCTTACCACCAGTTAGTAATGGAGTGATGAAAATGCATGTATAAACTTCACGCACAGCAGAGCCCATGTGCTGTAATAGCTAGAATTTTTGCCCCAGACTGTGGAAACCTGGTATCAAATCCCTTCTGAGGCATGAAACTAACAGGGTGAACTTGGGCCAGTAATGATATTGAAGCTCAAGCTAAATCAAAAACTTGCTGTTAATATAAAAAATGGGTGAAACCATGCCTTCCAGGTTGAGCTCTTTGGAAGGAGGAGATAAAATGTAACAAATAATATGCATCTGCCTTAAGTCATTCTGAAGATGCCTGACCATCTCACATTGAGTGAGCTTAAAAATCTATGTGACTGACATCACATGTTCATTACCAAACTCAGTAGAAGTGGCTAACTGTATATGAAGCAAATCCCTCAATATGTTGATAGAAAAAAGAGACTTCTTGGTATAAAAAGATACTTGTGCCAAGAAGATGCAATACCTGTTTCTTTGATTATCTACTTCTCCACCTCCTACTAGCCTTTGGCCATGGAAGTACATAACAGTTAACAAGTAGCAGCTTTCATAGTTATTTAGTATCCTGTCCTGAATGTAAAAAATAAAGATCTGAAATAAGTTTTTCTACTGTTATATCACCATTAAGACTTTTTGCTTTGAGTAATATACTTCATGGCAGTGTTGCTTCTATTTAAAGCAAGGAGTTTGATCTTGGCTTTGATCTAAAGCTTTTGATCTTGAAAGGAGGTTATTGTGGTAATAAAGAAAAGGGCAGGACAGTGCCTTTTTAAAAACTAAAAGCAGTAAAGTTAAAGAGGTGGCCAAGATTTAGTGAGCATTCATTTGACATACATTTATGTCGTGACATCTGCTTGCAAATGCATCTGAATGCTAGAGAAAGTCTGCTTTGATATACTGTTGTCTTACTTTTCAGAAACATAGATTTCTCTTTTAACCTTTCAAGGACTTCATAAATACATTGGTGAAGTTTTTCTGATGGCACAGTTGGTACACACATGTTCAGTAAACATTTAAGTATGCCAAGTATAATTGTCGCAGAGTTATACCCTTCTATGCACTTACAACTGGAAGTTGTAAAAGCATTACTCTAAATGTCAAGGGAAAAAATCAGTACTTCTTTCCATGTGACTTCCTGCTGTTTGACATTTTTCTTAAAGCCATCGGTTTAACTTGCTAGTAACCTCAAATCTGGAGTGATCCTAGGCATGTTTTCCCTAGAACACTTTAGTTCAATGGGATTTACTCCCAAGTAAGCATGCATAGACTGGCACCTCTAAAGCAAAGCACAGGCTTTGCTGAACTGAGGCCTGATGGAGGAGTCAGCTGTGGAATGCCCATGACTAATACAAATGGCAGGATTCCAGTTGCAAAAAGCAAACTTAATGCTTGCTTTTAAGATGCACTTCAGCGTCTCCATGGGATTCATCTGATACAGTTTTGGATTCCATAGAGGTCAAGGAGCTATGGGGGCGGGGGGAAAGTTTAAAATTTTTATTTGCATTGTAATCTATTTCCAACGATAATGCCATTAGAAAGTTTTGCTAAAATATTCCTGATTGGAATTAAGGCTGATGATAGATGGACAATGGAGAAAATGCATTACAATTATCTTCTATTACAAAATGGAATAAAAGACATTTCATCTGTTGATCTTCTCCCATGGTTTCTGCATCCCCCCTTTCTCCCTTCTCTATTTTCAGGTTTCATGTGACTTACATAAAGGTATAAATAGATGAATTGTTTCTATAAACACATGAATGTTTATTTTACAGTAGCAGCCGCCACATAAATTGGGATGTTTAGATGGAACTAGATTCAGCGGTACTATGAGAGCGGGGCTTGGGCGCAAAGGGCCACGGCCTACTCAGCCCAGTGAGCAAGAGGGCCCCAAACGCGAGCAGCGCCGGCTGGCCGCATTTGGAAGCGAAGCAGTATCTAATGCGATCTAACGTATCCCTCCCCTTCTAGAATTTAAATTTAGCCAGCTGAAATCCTAGGCATGTTTACTCAAAAGTGAAGTCCCGCTTTGTTCAAGTAGGTCTTGCTCCCACGTAAGCGTGTCTGGGATGGCCACTTAAAATACCTAATTTAGGTCCAAGTGAGTCGATCTTCAGTTTGTAGAGGGAGAACTGGAGGCTTTCCTCTGAAAGCGAACTACTGTGAAGACAGGGCTGAGGAGGGATTTTCGCTTCGCCCGGCCGGGTCCCAGGGTACCACATGCTAGTCCTGCCTACTCGGTTCACCTTTCCTGCGCGCACGCAAGAACCGACAACCCTGACGCTTGGGCGCAGTTTTGCACAAACTTCACGCGGGGTGGGAGGGGAGTCGTGCTTTGCAGAGCGAACGATTTCGGAGCGATTGTCTTGCGCAGGGGCAAGTTGACTTAGGACCGACAAGCCGCAAGAACATTAAAACATTGACGTTGGCCGCGTGTGCCTGCCTTGCAAACAGTTGCGAGCCCTCCTCTGCATACCTTTTGACGATGGGGGAACAAAAGCCGATCGGTCTGTATCCCCTTAAGGCAAGCTCCTCCTCTCCTCTGATCGCGGAGGCTGAACACGAGGACGGGAAGGAGGAGGGGGGTCTCCTTCTCTCTCTTAGGTATTTCGTTTCCTAAGGAGGTCCCTTGTGTTGCGTTGCAAAGAGAAGCAGACGGCGCTAGTGGATGCATTGAGAAGAGACCCCCAAAAGAAATGCTCTCTGGAAACGGCACAGAAGCCTTGGCCGGGGGCTGCTCGGAAGAAAGTGGCGTTGCTGCTCCTGCAGCAGCATCCAGAGCGAAACACAGATACTAACCGCGTGTGCGATGGGAAGCAGCAGCCCCAACCCGAACCAAGCGGGAGGCGGTTGCTGGCAGAGCCAAGGTAGCGTTTGCAGGCACGCCCGCCCGAGCGAGCGATGAGGCTAGGACTTTTGCAGAGGGCTAGCTGAGAGGGACTCAATAGTCCCGGAGGTTTTGCGGCGCGGAGATGAAGGAAGATACGGACAGGGGTAAAAGTCTTTTTCTGTGTGCGTGAGTGCGTGCTTTTCGCATCCAGTTTGGAAGCCCTCTAAGAGTCAATCCGATGATCCTGGGGATTTTGTTTTTGGAGACGAGCGGTAAAGAAAGAGTGGATCGCATCCCTCGAGCTTGCAACCTAGAACACCTCAGTAAACTTGAACTTTATTTGTCTTCCCCCATCTAGCCTTTGCTGGAAGAATGTGAAGCTTGGAAGGGGTGTCGACTAGCCCAGCAAGTGAAGGAAGAGGTAACGCTTTTTACTGGGTTAATTTTAGGAATTTTGGTTTCACTGTTTTTTCTGGCCCTGTTTGAAATCTTTGCTCTGAAAAGTCTCTGCTCAATTTATAGGTACCACTTCAGAATCGGTTGTTTGTGTGCGTTCCCTGTGATTTCTTAGAATTTCTGTGGCTTAGTGGATCTCTTTCTTGTGGCTGAAGGTGTGCAGCATGCGCAGCAGAGACTTTTCTCTTAAAAAATAAATAAAATTACACTCGGGCTTAAAAACACTACCTGGAAAGAAGTTCCATTGTAGTCAGTGGCACTTCCTTCCACTGGAAGTGATTGGTAAGCTTGTATAATAACTTTATACACTGTTCTGATATATCCAGGCATTTCCCTGTGTTTCAGAAAGGGTGTTTCTGCTGTTGTCTAGTTCTGAGCAGCAGACAAAGTTTGTTGCATTAAGAGGTGTGGGAAGAAAGGGCTCTCTTTTAACCAAGCACAAATGGCTAAATGGATCACCCAAGAGCACATTGCACACTGGAAAAGTGTTGGCCCTCCTCTCTCTCACACAATCTCAATCTCTCTCTCTCTCCTTTTCCAGTGAAGCAATGGAAAAATGTATCTTGAGTCTGTTTATAGTGTCTTACTCATGCTGAGTAGTTGCACTCAGGTTGCGTCTCCTTAAAAAAGCCCTATGGTTTTGACCTGTAGGTCGTAAAATGGATTCAAGTAAATCAGAGAGCCCGAAAAAGAAGCAAAAGGAAAAGGCAACGTGAAGAAACCGCTTTCCAAAAGGTATGGGTAGGCATCTGTATATTCAATGCAATTATTTAAGAAATCACAGAGAGACGCTTTTAAATGGTATGGAAACAGCACAGCATTTTCTGGAAACATTTGCTGTGTGAAGTATCATGCTATATAGCAAGATTCCTATGATGCAATTGGATGCACCAGCATTTTTGTGCATTGTAGTGACTTGGGAGAGTGGACAGGAGCATTTGGAAGATTCTGTAGCAAACAAATTAGCACTTTCACAGTCATTCATTACTGGCCCTTTATACATCTAATTAAAAAGTTTCAGGTTAGGATAACAAGACAACTTAGTGTGTTAGTGTCACAGAAATGGAAAACATGACAAATTGGTACCTGAAAAGATGGGCACAAATAATTAATTTATAGTTCCATGTATAGTGTTTAAGGTTCTTCCTAGTTCCTTCAGTCCATAAAACTAAAGCTATGTGTTTTAGACATACATGTGCACATTAAATGTGAACAGCACTTAGATGATTGCACACTTGAATTAGAAGGGTTTCATGAATGCACAAATATATCATTTTGGTATGTCTTGCAATTTTTTCTTTAAAGGTGGTTTCCTAGTTAGGATATGTATTTGTACTTAAATGTTGAATATGTTGACCACCAGCCCTGATATTGGATATACATGGCCCAGTGCATGACTGTTTGAGCTGAAATACTTGAATTTAAGCTGGTTTGCAGCACAATCCTATGCATGTTGTAAGTACATCCTACTCATCAGCGGAGTTTGCTTGCTACCTACTACGAATACTTAATCTTTGTCCCATTGAGGTAAGTGTGGTTGACAGCCGCATCTTAGACATGTTTACATGGAAATAAGTATACTTGATTTTAGTAGGATTTCATTTTAAGACAAGATAAAAAAAAAACCCAAGGACTCTGGCCTGCCTTGTGAATTGGGCTATTGTTGTGCAGTGTGGATTGGTAAGCAGCAAACTTGACTTTGTTCAGAAAAGCAATTTTGTTTTAGCTATTCCATGCACTTTAGCAATAATTAATAATAAAACCTTGTTTCTTTCTGGAAAAGGATTTGGAGAGCTCTTTAAAAAATATCTTCCCTTTATTATTTTGGAAGTATTTTAAGCGGCAATATGTTATTCTGTAGCTTCTAGAAAGCCTGATGAATCATTGCTGGTTCAGTAGCCAAGTTCTTGCTGATAGTATGGCTGCCAACTGTAGGACTGTGTTGCCTTAGTATGGGCATTACTGTGTTCGACAAATGTCTGCAAAATAGTAAGCTAAATGTGGTGGTGGTGGAAGATGGACAATAAAGGAATTGAGGTGCAACTGCTTGTTTGAGTTTGGATTTATTATTGTAGTAAATGGCTTGAAGGAATTAGGCTCTAATTCTGAATCAATTTGCCAACATTAAATTGCAGCCTACCATAATATGACTTGTTTAGAATGTATGCAAAAATGGTTTTATATTTCCAATATGAGATTCATTGACTCCAGTTGAAGTTCTCTGCAAATGCATATATCGTGTCATAAGATGCTACAGCGCTTTTTTTTTAACAGAAGAAATCCAGAACTTTAAAAAAAAATAGAGTATTCCGGTAAATTGCTAACAAGAAACAACCAATTATTTAATCACGGTCCAGAATTATTAGGTGCTACAAATGGTATTTCAGTTCACTATTCTGCATACGCCCTTCCTTGTAGTGTGGAAAGAACTTAATTGAAAGGGTAGGAAAAATTCATATCGGTTGGAATAGAGAACTAGCATTTGGGGGTTTTTTTGTTTTTGTTTTTGTTTTTTTTTGGTTTTTTTGGTCATCATGATTGGAGTGACTGGAACCCACACTGAATAGGCCTATCTGAAAAATGGATAGGCATATTTTGTCTGATCCAGGAACATATTTCCTGTTTGGTATCTGATGTGAGTAGTGGCCTGAAGATAATAAAAATTGCCATCTTGTGACTTGGCTGCTTTAAATGAGAGATTTTCAGCGATGGAATAATTTGTGCTGCATAATGCTTACTGAGACTCAGCGGTATTGAACCCAGTTTAGTGTTTAGCCAGATTTGTATGTTTATATTCTGCATTTTCCTTCTGAAAATGGTGGTGCACATAGCCACATGTTGCCTGCCTTAGGCAAAGTTGCTAAAAAAAGGCATACAACAAAACTAAATTTTAAAAAGCACACAAAGAAGTGGCAGTAAACTAGTAAAATTAAGAGTAAAGGAAGAACCAAATCAAAATTAAACAAATGTGCGCAGCATAAATCACAGCCTTGGAGGAAAAGTCTTTCAGTAGTAACTGAACACCAGGAAAGTAGGAGACAATCTAACCACCTAGGCCATGCTGGGTGTCACAGTGGACAAGTTGCCTTGTGGCTCAGTGTATTTGAAATTGTTTTAAGTGAATATTGTAAAAAGAGTATACCTTTTGTGGATGGAGGCACATAAGAGAGAAGGCAGAAAAATATAATCAGAGCATCTAAAAAACAGTTGCTAATATCGTTTAGACCTGCTGCAGAAACAGGTAAATTTATGTGCAGAGCAAACTTCTACATCTTTGGAAGTGTGCATTTTACATAAATTTTCATGAAAGTAAGCCTCATCAAAGTCAGTAGGACTTATGTCAGAGTAGACATGTATAGGATTGTGCTGTTACTGTCACATCTGAAAGAATGAATTCCGTAGCTACGAGGATGACCTTTAGAAAGAAAGTATTGGACACTTGCTGTAACTTTTAAGAGTCCTTTTGTATGTTCTCCCCATCATGCACAGTTCCTTTATAATTATGACAAGATAATCACATTTCCTCTACTGGATGAATGCTTTTTGCCATTACTAACCTGTGTGAGACACCATGAAATCAAAGCAGCCACTCATGCATTTTGAGCATGAAGTCTGACTGTCCCTAAGATAACTGTTTTCTTTCCATAGAGAAAAAGGTATTTCAGCCTAGAAAAAAGCTTTGAGACAACTGGTTGCATCGGTTGAAGTTTGAAATTCAGTTAAGGGCACAATCCCCTGCTTTTTTAGGCTGAACAAAATGCCACAACTCCAACCGTATTCCAACTGGAATGTCTGGCTGGAGCATGGTGGGAGCAGTGGGACTTTTTTCTTTCAAAAGTTGCATAGGATTGCACCATAAATCGTGATTTTTATAGATCTCACTTTTCAAGGGAAAATGAAGGTAGAAAAGCGTTGAAGATAATAACAGTTGCGTAAGGCTTTTCTCAAATGGATGCAAAATGATAGAAAGTTTTCTATAAAATGATGGACTTCCGCTGTTTCAAGAAATTGAGGGCTTTATATAACACAATTCACTGGTATAGATAAGAATTAGTTCTTGGATAACTAGTTAAAATGTCATTTATGCCTCAACTCACTCATTCTTGATTTTTAGTTTGTCTATTTTATTTCCTTATCTGAGGGCCTGATTTTTGCTCCACCCAAACTCCTGGCTCAGGAATTCACTTCCTTTTACCTCTCACATGACAATAGTTTAGTCTTCTTCCCTTCCTCACTTTATTTTTTCCCTACATTATTTTATTTTTTTCTTTTAATATTTTTAAATAGATCTACGTTTCGTTTTAATTCGCCTCTTTAATGGTGCTTGCTTGCTTCCTTCCTCGTCTTCGTTACAGTTTGTTGTTCCTCTTTTTCTGCAAAGTTGTCTAGCTCATATGATTTTCACATTTTCGTTATCAACTCACACAGACAAGACAAGTACAGCAATGAGGGCCTGCATAGGCTGGTGGTGGGGTGGGTTGAAATCAAATAATAATGGTAAATAATACTTTTAAGAGTTATTTCAGTGGCCAACTAAAACACCTATGTATAAAAGGGTTTAAATATTGCTAATATCATAATGAGTTTGAAAAAAATAGATATGTTATGCAATTTATAACCCTTGAGGAAAAAATTGCAAAGCTTTTTGGAAGATGGACGATTTTCCTAATTCTTTAAATTTGTGTTGTCCTTAAGCTTTAGGATTAGAAGGATACATAACCAGCTGTGATCATGACAAAACAATGACAATCTGAGTGGAAGGAAAATACTTTTATGCACCATAAAGTATGGGAAAGGATTTAACAAGAAGTAGATTCAGTAGAAGTGGATGGTAACACATGGTGAAATCAAATGTTCTCCAGTACTCCATGGTATTTTCTCCCGCTCTCTCATTCTTTCAGTGGCTCCCACACTGCTCTGAAATCTGCTTTGGAGAGTTTTCCAACCTTTCAGAGAAGATTTTGAGGGTACATGTGTGGCTTTGCCTATAAGGAATAGACTTCCTTTGGTTCTACTGATGGCATTGGTTTCACCAGCGGACTGACAGTGTTGGATCCGATTCACTGCTTCCAGGTTCGGTGGTGTACAGACATGACATTTTGGTTTAGTTAAGAAAGACAACCAGATTTTAACTCTCTTGGACCGAATCGAGTTATAATGCATGAAACTGCATTTCAGTCTACTAGTGTGATTAATGTCAGTATCAGGCGATACTGGTTAAACATATTGGCATTTAATATTTCATGTTTTCAAAATTAGGTAATTATTGAAGCATTATTATAAAATATTAATATATAAAAAGCTGTTTAGGCGCTCTAGTAAGAGAACACTGCAACACAGCTTAATTACACATTCAATATCATTTGGCCTGATTCACTTTGGACAGCATCTTTTCAGAAATTTTATGGTTGCATTTTCCTTCTTACAGCCTGGAAACATTGACGCTAGATTCTTTCTTCCTAATATGCTAGCTTTCTAGTAGCAGATGGTTTTTGCAATGAGGAGCCATTCAAGCACACATCCTTTCACCTTCTTTTTGCAATAACACACTTGAAATTCTGTTCCACATTATATAGGATGGTTGCTATTATTCTCCATCACAGTTGCTACAATGACTTGATTGTGAAGGAAAGAAAGTTTGTATGTGTGTACGTGTAAAAAATGATTAACACAAAACAATAAATGATGAGTCCACTGGAACAGACACAGATCCAGTTTTTTTTTCACCAGAGTTT